CCCCCCCGCTTTCATTTGAAAACTTGGTGGCGACAGACGATTGATTTGTTCATTTTTTGCGATATGTTTCAGGTTGGAGACGGCGATTGGATGTAATGGCCTACCTTTTTTCCCCTCGGGTAGTACGAGCGCGAGCGGTGAGATGACAGCTGCTGCAGAAGCAATCTCTTCCTTGCGTCTACACTACGAGGAAATTGTCGTGCGGCTCTACTTTTGCCAGAGCAACGCGCGCTCTCTGCTACGGGATCCATCGAAGAGCGCGGCGGACGCGTGGGAAGCTGTCCGTCAAGGTCTTGCCGAGGCGCGCTTGTCAACTGGACCTCTAAATTGTGATCTAAATCTCTGGCGGAAAGCGGAGGACCTGGTCGAAACTATGGCCAATGAGGTTGATGAAACCGGAGCCGCCTTGGAACCTGGCAAGTCGCCCAGCTCGGAGAGCAACAACCCGGGTGCGTGTGTGATGCATCCGGTTGATGTTTGGTTTTTGGTCTTCATGCATTGTATACCATCACTGCCTCACTTCTGAGCTCAAGATTTTTTTTCTAAAGTACCTGTCCGCCCCGTTGGAACCATTGCACAGATCCCTCTCGCCATTTGGAAGCGGGAACGGGGTGGGTTTCTTTGGCAACCCCGAAAGAAGAGGGCCCTCACGTGTTCGAAGGGGGTAGCGGCGACCACCCAAGCAAGGACGACGCGAGTTCTACGCCCGACACAGGCATCACAGACGTCCATGTCGGTGTGCCATCCCCGGTTCGCAGCAGATGCGAAAGACAAGAAGGCGCTGCTTCGCGACCGACACCCGAGGAGATTGTAGGTGAAGACTCTCGCGAACTGCTTGTCAGCGAACTAGACTCTGTCCTTCGTGCAAGGCCGCTCCCGCCAACCTGTGAGAAGCGCCTTCCGCTGGTGAGCCAACAGTCGATCGACAGTGAGGATGGCAGCGACACGCCCGAAGAGCAGGGCACGGAGCGGCCGCTTGGTGTGGCAACGCCTCCGACAGGGTCAGCTTTGCCGACAGGCAGCCAAAACCTCATGTCAGAGCTCCGCGCGCAGCTCAGTGGTGCTATGAACGAGGAATTTTTCTCATCGGACAGGCTTCCGTGCCCCGTAACAAGCGACGCAGAGGAGGGCAGCGTTGTTGAGGAAAATCCGTAAACAGATCAGAGAGCCTTCACTCTTGGCCAATCCAACGATGCTTGAGTATTTATTTCGTGGCTTGCTTTCTTTCGTCAACGTTGTGGCACTCTCTTTTCCGGAGTCGTGTCTATGAGTCCGGGTTTGTGCGTTGCTATAGGTTGTTGTGATGGTTTGCGTAGGACTGTAGTACGCATGCGTTGCATGGCATGGACGGTTCCTGACAGCTGTTGTTTATATATGTTGTAGAGATGTCGCCAAGGTCTTTGTAAATATCCCGGCTCGATATGGCGATTTCATCAACCGCGTGTGTTCCCGATATGATGAAAGTGTAGAAAATGTTCAAAACGTAAACAGTTTCTAGAGCAATTCTGCGCTCAATAGAAAATCGCATGAATCTTAGTTAGATTCTGCCGTATGTAGAAACAGAAGTTGTCGTCTAAAGAAGATCTGGTCAAGTAGCACTCGTGGTAAGCCTCGTAAGTACATGTAGCTGTGGAGAGATTGCATGCAACTGCAAACCCGCGATTCTCGATAGTCTTTTCAGCTGCGGAACAGTCCTGAATTCCCTGTCTCGCGGGCTGTAGACTGTGCAAAGAACGCGTACACAGCTGTCCTTGCGTAGTTTTGGGTTGCCCGGTCATTTGAGCCACGTTTAGCCCGTATCGCCTGAGAGGCTACAGTAATTAATCTACTTCCCCCTTTTGATCACGATCGGGTCCACGAGGACAATCGCTTTCTGGAGGCCACCGCAAACCGTCGAACGTCGCAGCGTCGAGGGGAAAGGTAGGTGCCTGCATGACGAAGAACGAAGACAAGGGGAGCGGTGAACGGAGGTGATGTTGGAGGACATTCACTGTATTCTGACGCACATCGAGAGAGCAACTCCTGGCAGCACAGATTCGAGTTCATACATGAATTGTTGTGCACAGGACTAAGCAGCAACAGTCGACCATGTGCATTACCTGCGTCTTCATGACACTCTCGTACAACCATCTCTTGACGCCATCTCTGTACGGGTCGTGTTTTCGAGATTCAAGCAGAAAACTTATCCCTTCGCGCACACACGACTTCGTCAGCTCATAGGCCGCTTGACATGCTCCGCGATCCTTTTCGTCAACGAGAGAAGTGTCGATCGCTGGCCCGAAGACAAAGTAGTGTCGTGCGGGAACCTTTTCGCGTATAGGTTAAGTCGAGGGCGGGGGCGGGGGGGCTCCTTCATCGTTTATCGTATTCTTGCACTTCGAAAAATGATCACAACTGCTGTCGAGCCACCTCTCTCACAACTCGCCACCATCAGTCTCCCACAGGGGGGGTGTACTCATAGTCGTGCATGCCGTAGTCGTTAGACCATTGACCTCGCATCCCTACAAAGCCGGGACGGAGCACGCCGGGTTCTCACCGGACCAGGCTCTCACATCACCAAGCGCGAAGCGCCGTCTCCCACAGGGGAGCGATTGTTTCGTTGCTCCGAGGATAAGCAATCTCGTTCTTGCGATTGCCTCGTGTTTGTTTTCCTCTAAATACTCAGAGGAGGGAGTGGACTCCATGGCACTCACAGGTCAGGTGGATATCACTTAATGAGATGCGTTTCTCCTCGCAAAACTTGCATCATGGATGCAATAATTGATCTGAACCGCCGCATGGCCATGCTAACAACGCGCATTTATCTAGTCTACAATGTACCCCCTCCCGAGCATGTAGTTTACATCTGCGCCAGTGTGCGAAATAGTGCAAATTACCCGATGATAATGTTGAAGTTTCGCTGCCAATACCCTTCACGTCGTCGGTCGACTAGCAGAACCTTTACCTTTGGGCGAGCTATTGGTGGCAAAAAATACTCCAGGTCATCCCCTTGGCGCGCACGGGGAATCGCATCAGCTGCATCCTTCATATTTTCCCCCACGCCGAACGGCAGCGAGAATATTTCCTCCCGATCCATCCAAAGGGCCACGCTGAGCAGCCATGGTCGTGTCAGGTGGTGTGCGTTGGGTTACTTAGTACCGTAGGTTTTAAACAATTCTCGCTACCATTGTAGCAGCAAAACTCACCTCGTTTGCAGTACGAAGTACGAGATTGAGAACTAATATTTATTGAAAGCGCCCAAAGGTTAGGCCGTGTCTTGGACTCTTACGGGCGCTTTTTCTCTACTATTTCTGGCCAAGCCAGCGACACTTCGGGCCGTCTAATGGGGACATCACAACTTTTACTGGAACAACAAGCTGGGCACGCTGAAATGTTACCCGAGATCGTCCCCCGGTAGACCAATGGATGCAAGCTCACCTGCGCGACATTTCTCCTTTTGTCGTCAAGCTTAAGCTGCTCTGCATCAAATGAGCAATACGGCATAAATCATGAAACTTACATGCGCAACGTTGCCACTTTTCATTCCAAAGGTTTCTACACGGTGCTCTGGTAGACAGTATTCCTTGTGCGGGAGAATAACTCCAGAGCTTCCACATCACTCGGTACTGTTGCCTTCCATTGCCTAGCTTTCAACTCTACTGTGATGGGTTGTTCAACTAAAGCCACGAGAGACGTGGTTACACTCGCATTATTACCTGTCGGCCGAGCCAACGGCAGCAAATGGAACAATCGTCGCGTTGAAAGATGCCGCCATACGAACAAACTCGCCCTTTTCTGGCCAGAATATTTGATATTCTTGACCCTGTGTGGGCAAGAGGAAGATGGTGGTTCGTTGGGGTTGCGTGGCGGGGGGAGATTGAGCAGAGAGGATGACCATAATATTGGTGGTACATTGTTATTTCATCATGAGTCAGTCAAATTGTTTCGTCCTTGGCAAAGACAGTTGCTGATAGGCCCAAACATGAGGCGGCTCACTGGATCGTCTCGCGGGTACACTACTGAACATGCATAGGTGAACACAGGCTGCGTACCGTGACGCTTCCGCCACGTACTTGGAGAACCTGTAATTTCCAGAGGAATTCATCGTGTCTTGGATACCTTTTGATGGAGCGCCTCCTTCACCCCTCCGGGATACAACAGCATCGATTCGCCAGCTTTGAATAGCCTCAACATGTTTCTTGGCGTGACAGATACGGCCCCAAGCTTGACCATAAAATCACCCACTCGTTCGCTTATTGATGGCGATGATGCGGAGCCTTCGAACCGATCAAATCCTGCCACCCGAAACAAAGACGCACAACACGTTCATGTATCCCTTGTTGAACGTTGAGGTGAACCCCTATCAATCAATCACCCGTGCCAATAATGTCGACGGTGGGATATACTATACGAGAAAAGGCATCCTAGCAGTTCCACTCATAGGCGTTCTCTACAAGATTCCCACGACAGTTTTGAAGCGTTGGCATCGATGATGCCTCAACCAATCAATTCTGATATCGTGCTCAACGTTCTTCAACGACAAACGAAACACTACGGTAAGTGTTCAGTCTTCTTTTAAAGAGGTCCATGGCAGAACTTCCCTCTTAATCCGCATTCCCAGGGAAATACAGTTGAACACGCTCGGAAATTTGCCACGCAATAGCCAAGGGGCACATCAAGTAAAATCATGGCACCTTTTTGGTCCCTTTTGATGACCCGGTGCGCAACGGACGCACCGTTCGCCACAGTCTTTGCACACGCTGTCACGACGCTTCCGATGCGTCTCGATGCTGCCCTGACTGTTTGTAACACCGCCGACGCTAACGGTCTCGTGATACCACTAGCACCGAGTGAATGCGTGACCTCAGATCAAGGTTTGATGGAGGCCAAGCCAAGTTTCATAACACACAAATGACATGCGGTGCGAAGGGGGATGCAGTCATTTTCTGGTGCCGTCGACCAGTCGCGTTCAGGTATGCGACGGATGTCGGCTAGGCTCTCTGGGCAAGAGAGTATGTTTCCTGAACGTGCTCGGTAGTCAAGTTGTGCACGAGTGGTACGAACGAGTCTTTAACTACGAGCCTTTAACTATCGAAAGATACACTCTCGGCTCGTAGAATCCCGGGCTGTAAGTAGAGATCTCCGGGGACTGACCCCTCGCCAGGCGCTGCTGGAAAAGAACTATGATGCTATTTCGTAAAGTGATCAGCCCGGGAGTTGAACCTGTGCGTGTATCCTTCGAGTGGTAAAGGCTTACCCATTAGACTACTCAGTCAGCCGCTGACTGAGTAGTCTAATGGGTAAGCCTTTACTATCAAAAGATACACTCTCGGCTCGTAGAATCCGTGCGCGCAAGTGTCAACGCAACCTACCAGAACGACGTTGTTTCCGCGCCGCACCTGTGTTTCGTCCGATTCCTGTTGCCGTTTGATTGTTTCAAACAAATCACCGGTGCCACAACCTGTGACCACAGGGTGCGCCAGCCCGCGTACCAAGATGTTCTTCTCAGCGAGTATTTTCCGCACCTGAGATACAGCAACCGCCACATCAAGGTATCCAGTTGTCAGGCCATACGTTGGGGGCTTGCGTGAGAAGATCCATGACAGAGTGAACGCTTGAAATGAAGATGGTCATAAAATAATGTCAATCTTCTGCTGTTGTGACAACAGTGCGCGGCGTACCAGAATAGGCATATCGATGCCCAGCAGTTGATGATTCCCCACGAACAAGATAGAGCGACCTTCCTCGTAGTCCGGAACACTCCCAAGACCGTGGTTGAGCTCCCCGCGTTCGTTTACAGAGAAGAACACCGGGCTTGTGAAACGGTCCATCATCTGAACAACAGTGCACCGCATGGGAAAAGCCTGACATCGACGAAGGAGAGACCCCAAGCGCACCCCACATTTCTTTTGGGCAATAATACGTTTCTCTACGGTTCTGAATCAATTTCCTCTTTTGGAAGTACCGTGACAGAGCCGTTTCTCAGATGAACGTTACCTCAGTGCTTTCCCAGGCCATTTTGACTCCCCTATCATCGAGATCTAGCTTGAAGTCTAGCACAGGATCACCAACGCCTTCGCCCCGGCGAAGATCGTCACCCCCACTCTTGTCCTGCAAGACCACACACAAACGCGAAACACTCGCCGTTTTGATTTGGATGAAATACGAAACGTTTCATTGTATGGTGTGGACATGCACACTAGGAAGAGCTTCCTCTATAAACGGCATTGTACTTTCTCTACCTTGTGCCACCGTTTGGAAGCTTTCTTGGCCTCCTTGCTGCTGACTATCCGGTCCCGGAAGTGGTCGTCGTAAATCACGGAATCCCTAAGCAGGGCGCATAGGTTCACCTCGCTGGGGTTGTGGAGAGCGGCGTGCCCCACACCCCGTAAGACTACCTGCCGATGAAAGCAGGGGAGGTGTTGAGGTGGGTGCCTTTTGTCGAAAGGTTGAGCAGCTCGCCTTGTTTGAGTATTTGCACAGTTGTTGCATGGCAGAGCTCCTACCTTGGCGGTGTCGGCGATAATGTTTCCCATCTTACACGCACCTGCTGGCAAGTCGGAATGAGATCGTAGAGTCTCGCGGCTTCTTCAGCCGACGGAAGCATGTGGTCCTCGGAGCCGGCCAAGACGAGCACAGGCAAGGTAAGCTCTTGGAGTCTTTCTTCCACCACCTTACTCCCTTCGTCCAGCCAGTGCGTCAATCGCCATTTAAGTTGATGCTGCCACGAACGGGATCCAATTCAAAGGGTTTCCGTTGGAACATAACCTTTGCCTTCAGTCTCGACGTTCTTCTGTACACACCACTGTGAGCTCAGAAGATATATGAAACCGCCATTGCTCGCAAGTATGCATACCTGTGGCGTTTTGTCGAAAAGGGCCAACATGCGGCCCAACCACTCTCCAGTTGACGACTTGAACCATGCTACGAGTTCTTGGGGTGGCAGCGCCTCGAGCTCGCTCAAGTGTTTTGAAAACTGGGCCCCAGAAGCGACAACACAGTGCGGGCGAAGAGCAACAGTACACATAAGTTCGGGCTAAAGAGTTTACCTAGGAAACTTTTGATGCTTGACTGCGCAACCCCGGTGCTTGACAGGGCACACCCCGTTGTCTTCGACGAGTACGCTAAGCCTTGTGTTCTCGTTCCCGTTGTATGAAGCACCCACCATAGCTGTATCAGGTATGGTGGTCGCCAGCGCAAGCACGGCCGCCATTCCGAATGCCTCCGGTCCCGGTGCGTTTGCGACCAAAGAGCCAACAATCCGCCAGTGTGATCGTTCATAAGACGTGGCGGGATTGACCAATACCAGCCCTTTCACGTATTGAGGATCCTTCGGGATAGATGCACAGAAGAAACATGTTGAAAAAACGGGGACGAATAGATAGTGTGAGCGCTCCACTTCCCACGTTGGGTGGGCGCCCTTTCGTATACTCCATCATTGTGCACAAGTTGGAAGCTCTGCACCATCTCGCCAACGCACCCGTACCTGTAAAGCCACGTTCACCGCGAGCAAGCCTCCGAACGACGATCCAACGATGACCGCTTGCCTCTGCTCATTCACGCCAACAACGCAAAGAAAATCCATCACCTGCACGACCAAGGCCCAATCGGAGAGATATTGTCGGTTGCCACAAGAAAAATTGCCCTTGTAAGAACGATTCGGCTGTGGTACAGACCAAGGCCTGTTCCCCGTAGATGCCAATGCCCGCCAGTACTCACCCGTTCGGTAAGCTCAACGAAGGTTGATTGGTCGTTTCCGTCCACTTTCAGGCTCCATATATCGAATATGCCCGATAAATAGTCAAACTGGTCCACAGCCTCGATGTTGAGACCGTCAACACCCGGAAGGAAGAGCAAGAGGTCCCGGTCCTGGGTAACGGGTTGGCAACACACAACCATCAGTGTCTCAGATTTACTCGTTCAGCAGCAATAACTGTCATGGTTGAATCGCAGCGGCAGAAGTACGGCGGTGCTGCTGGTAATACTCCATGTGATGGTGACCTAGGACCTGTAGATGATGTGCGTTCTGCCTGGATTCAGGAGACCCTTTCTTTGTATCTGTTCTTCCGTCTTCATCCTATAATACCTGGACCGCTCCCACTCTACAGTTGTTCTGTGTTGCCCTGCAATATCCCATCGAAAACAGCGTGTGAAAAACTTTCAATCTCCCAAATAAATTGCAACCAACCGTATCTATAGACAAGGGGACCAGAACAGCTATATGGCATGCTCTCCACGTTGTCGAGGGGGCTCGTACCGAACTCAGTGCTGGCACCTCTAGCGCCAACGCTGACAACACGGTAAGGTGGCAGTTCATCTCAGCCGGTCTTAAAATTGTAGTCAAAAGGACCAGCTTGGCGGGTTTGGCGAGCTCACCTCGTTGGCTGGCTCTTTATAGCTGCCTTCGCGCCCAAAACAACAGGAACCGATGACGATGTTTTGCCCTTGCTCCTTTCGCAACCCCTCAACCTGCATGCATTTCACGCATGATAGCGAAGGTTGTTCGTTGCATTGAGTCGTTCTATTAAGCGTATTCCTCCGATGTGAGTGCTGACTACTTGTACAGTAGTACAACCGATCAACCAAGTAGCAATGACTGAAAGCGTGGCGACGTACAGTAATAAGTATTCAGGGGCTTACTATACAGGTGTGATCCCGGAACACCGTCGCCATTACTTGCCCACCTCAAGTTCCAATTCCTGGATGTTATTGATCAGCTCGTCCAATGTTTCGGGTCCGCATTCCTCCAGAATGTCCATGGACTCTGGGTGATGAGATGTCTGACAGCGAGGAGGGGTGATTTTACAAGCCGCAGAGCAAGTGAGAACGCACCCACGATACACAAAGATATATGAATAGCTGTGGAGCGAGAGGGCGATAATACTGCTGTATGTAGCAAACGGATCTACGTTGTACCTCTTGACTATATCAATATACCCAATACTCAGCTGGCCACAGTTTGATTGTTGTGTGAAAACCTATTCAATACTTGCGGCGGGGTGACTGATTACTCACGTGGAAGAGTTGGTCACGTCTGGCATGGTTCCAATTATTTTGCTGTCTGATCCGTATCCTTTGCGCCCGGAGTTGTGGCGCCATGTAGAATTTGGAGGGTGGCGTGGACACCAACCCTGCCGCACCAACCAGCCACATGAGACACGTATACGAAGCTAGACCAAGCCCTATCATGCCTGATGTTGCAAAACAGCAGCCAGCACCCTCACTCTCCAGTCTCTCCGTGGATTTCTCGGGCTATGTTGTACAACCGATTCTTCGACCGGTAAAAGTTCAATCTGCAGACCCCCCACCTCGCCGAGTCCCACATTCATTCTCACACCTCACATCACGTTCTGGAGGAGCGGAGTCGAGGATTCCCGTGTCGGGGGGTTCGAGGATGACCGCGGTACAGTGTTTTTCATCCGAAAATGATCCGACTGCAAACCAATGTACGAAACCACACCTCCAGAGTGCACAAAGTACGCAAAACTCATCTACGGCGTATCTTTCAACGAACAACGCGCCAAGATCTTTCGGTCGTTGGGATCTTTCTCGACGGGACAACAAGCATACAAGCACCGTTGAGGCCAACTAAACGAACAACAGTTTGTGCACTACACCCAACGACTCTCTCCTCTATAGGCGTATTCATGAAAATAGACCTGCAACATTTTAAGCACACACGCTGAAATAACATGTGCCGGCCGAGGTGAAGAAACAGAACAGGCGGCACCGACCACGCAAAAAAGAATGTGTGATCCATCCCCCGAAAATATGACTGTAATTTCGTATATTGTCTTGTACAACATTGACCGATCCCTCCTCTATGGAGCATTGAAATTCCTGGCGATCTCATTCTTAGGCATCACGATGTGAGAACGCACTATAGCGGATGTAGCGGGACCAATTCTCGGACATTCATTTGCGGTCATAGACTAGTATTTGAAGTTTGTGTTCTGCACGAGGAGACTCCTACGCGAGTGAGGTCTGTCCGCAGCAGTACTTTTGCTCCGTGTACGAGGGACCATCGCAAACAAGCATCCCAAACGTATCTATCTGTAAAAAGCCTATGGATCTGACGTACGTAAACATTGTGGAGTAAAATTGGCCGAGTCAAGTGATGGATTAGTACGGAGAGATTGAGACAGAAGGAGGTACTGGATAGAGAGACGGGGATGGTTTTTAATGTGAAGACAACAACAACAACAACAACAACTGCTCTGACACAACGTAAGTCCGAAATATGTCTGCGTTGTCGGTATCTCATGTGCCGGTTGGCATGTAGTCACGTATTATGCGAAGGAATAATTGCACAGGTCCGTTCTGTAGGGTACTCACAGATCGGTACCGGCGGTATTTTCCCTCTGTAAGTACCGACAGATCACTACAAAGAAGATCTGTCAGACCCCAGTACCCTACAGAGATTTCACAGAACGTTCTGTATTCTCCCAGTACCCTACCGAAACGTTCTGTGAGACCCCAATACATACAGAGATTTTACAGAGGAGTTCTGTGAGACCCCAGTACATACAGTTTTTTTTTTTTTTTTTTCATGACCTCCCTGCCTGCTCTGCTGTGTTGGGTACCTTGATCTCGCTTTGCTGTTGCCTCTGTTTTTTTGTACGGCTGGCTGTCTGCCCATCTGCCGCCTCTTTGCCCTGTTTGCTCCGTTACTCCCATGCCCTGGTGCGCAGTGCCTGGTGCTGGTACGTTACGTTACCCTTTCATTTTTTCTTTCGG